CAGATTTTTCTCCAGGCAGGTAAAAGTAACTTCGAAAAAGAAAAAAAAAAAAAAAAGAAAAAAGGGCAAAATATGTGACTACTTGTGTTGAGAATCTAGAGAGGCATGCACAGCAACAAAACAGTGTAAATCAGCTTGAATTAGCCGGACTATTCAGGACTTTTTTTTTCTGAAGACAGATGCTTCTAATAGTGGGGAGCAGAAAAACCAAACCAAAAGACAAAAACCTTCCCCTAAGTCCTTGAGAATGTACTGGCGGATGGAGAAGTTGATGCAGTAAGAATTTGAAAGGTAAAGGAAGTGTGTGGGCTTGCTGCTTTTCTTTTTGGTTTTGTTTTGATTTTTTTTTTTGGTCCACGGACAGTACCTATTATACATTCCCACTCCAGACAGAGTTCTGGGAATGCTTTGACATCATCTTCATTAGATGGAATTGTTTTCTTGCTTTATTATGTTTATATTACTCACAGGAGGAGGCAGAATGGTTACAGCAGCAGGTTGTGCAGGTGTGGTCTGGTTGTAAAGATACAGCTATACTTGAAGTAAAACTTCTCCTATGGAAGATGCTGGATTTGAGGACTAAATTGGGAGTTGTAATTAAACAAGGAATGTTACATATCTTTAAATGTGGTCTTCAACAAGGAATGAGAAGAGAAACAAGAAAATTGAGTTGAAACAAGTACAGAAGCAGATAATGGTTTAAGAAACAAATAACTGTTTATCTAAGCTAACGACATACTTTTATACACCAAAAAGACTGTGATTTTTGTCAATGCTCTTGGTGAAGTTACTCAATTTGGGAGTCCAATTGGGATTTTTGTGTGTGTGAAATTAGCCACATATTCCCTGGGAAGTGCTGTGACAGCTGTAGTCCTGCTTTAAGCTGGGTAATTACTTTCTTTCTGGGAGCTGGTGAGGCCTTCCAAGTGCCTTTGGGGGTGTTCAAACAGATCTCTGACAGTAGTGTTACTTTTAAAAGCATGAATTAGAAAGGGAGGGAAGGGAAGCACAAGACCCACAGCTCTGTGACAGAAATCATGAGCTATGTCCATTTGTTGGCTTTTCCTTCTCTCTGGGCAGTTTGGGCTGAACAGCAATGACTACAACGGCTTCTAACTGGATTTAATATTAAAGCAACTGAGAGACATAATTGGTCCTTTTTGCAGGTTGCAATCAATGCAGCTTTGCAGAGGCTGGAAAAAAAAGTGTGGAAGGGAATAACTTGCCTGTTTCCTGATCTTTTCCCTAAATGCTGTTCTCTTTGTGAAGCTACCTTTGAAATCTCGCTTCTGTATCACAGGGAAATTCTTCTTTTGCTCCACCACTCCGTGTCCAGGCACAGCTTCTTGTCCATGCCCTTTCCTGATCTGTATGGATCAGTACCAGTGCAGGACTGATATAAGAATAAGATATAGATGTGTATGAATCATAAAATTGCTACAATATATGAAATCACCTAAGACAAGGCTCTGCTCTGCCAGTGCAGGCAGGTCTGCTCTGTACATCCATCAACAGAGGTGTTTGGCCAAGGAAAAGAAAGAAGAATTGTGCTTCAAACAGACAAAAATAGCAACAGTGGAAAACAGACCAAAAGCAATTTTACTTCATTGAAAACCAAAGAAATGCTGAGTTTCTATAATGGTATTTTCCAATGGATTAAAATTGCCCCCTTTACAGCATTGGTTGTAAATACTGTTTTCTTTGCTTCTGTGATATTATTGAACATCTGGACTAAAGGTGATCATTCTTGGATATTACTGGTGCAGTGTGAGCTGGTGCATTTGCAGGAATGGACTGTGCTCAAGCTGGGAGGGAGAAGCAAACTTATATCCTCCACATGTGGTAGTTTTTAAATTGTTTGAGAAAGTTTTGTGTTAGGCTAAATGGGAAGCCAGGTCTTTTTATAGTTTTGTTTCTCTGCTTTCTTAGCTCTTATTTCTGGTCTTGCAGGAGTGGTGTCCTAATTAAAACATTCTGCCTTCTGAAGTCTGTTGAACATATGTCAATTGTGTTTTTAAATGAAAAAAAGGTCAAATAAAATGGAATGAGGAAAGTCTGTTGGAAACTTTAAATTTCTGCTTTATGTTAAGATGTTTGGTGCAGTTTGCATCTCTAAATGCCTCTGTATAATTAAATGCTTAACTGTTTTGTGAGTTTTTAAGCTGTACAAATTAAAAATATTTTTCTAGTATAAAAATACAGAATTATGCACCCTTACTGAAATAGAATCTGTAATTTAAGATGGCTTGATGTGGTAATGTGGATATTCTGTCTTTAGATGGAAATCTTAGAAGAATCTGTCATAATAAAGAGCTGAAGTTTATTTATGTGTCCTAATTGTTAACCTTGTTTCTTTGAACATTAACAATTACCTTTAATGTCAAGCTTTCCTAAGGATTCACTAAGTACAATCCTTTTTTGGATTCACTAAGTACAAGACTTTGGTTGCCCTTCCTCGTGGCTGCAGTGTTTGTCTGGTTGGTTGTAGCAGGTAAAGAGCTCCAGACTGCTGTGGTAGCTCTTCCATTTCCACTGCCTCGTGAGTGCTGATGGCAGCTCATCCAGGTGTCCTGAAGCTCCTGGGATATCTGGAGGGGCTCAAGTGTTTATTGTGGCTTGGAGTGTGCTGTCTAAAGGTGTGGCCCTGGCCAAAAAGGAAGGTGGAGGGGAGAAGGTCAGGTTGGGGTGAGCTGGCCCTCACCCTGACTCCTTTCTGCTGTTTATTTGGGGCAATGTTCCCCTAGGAAACCTGAAATGCCCCTGTGTCTCATTGCTTCTTACCTCTTTCAACTCTTCTACGTGTTTGTTTTTTTTTAAAGAAGCACGTACTAATGCCCTGGGGCTTGACATGAGGACTACCAGCATTGACATAATGTAAATATATGACAGTCAAGTCCTCTCTGTCCAGAAATCCTTTCAAGTTGCATCACTGCTAAAGCCTGACAGCCTCAGAATCACGAGTACTTTAATCAAAGCAGCTGCTCAGCAAAGGTTGTAAACTTGTGCTAGTGGGGTCAGGTAGCTCTTGGCACTGGAAATTATCTTTCTTCTGCTTACGTGAAGTGCAGGTGGAGTAGATTAATACCTTCCTACAAGTGTGGGTGAACTCCAGCTGGCTGGCTTCACTTGCAAACCACTGAATGCTGGGTAGAAAAGCTCTTTTTATAGCCAAAATGGCTGGCAGACCCAGTGCAGGTAAGAAAACTGGAAGAATTCTTTCAAGATCTGTGAAAGAACTACTATCTGGATCATTTAGACAATGAGCTTCATGCACCACTGCACAATAATCAGTAATTCCAGGCTAAGCTGCTAAAAGCAAAGTTATTAGCATAATCTGTTAAACATTTACCTATTGAAACAGATAAAGTCTTTGCTGGAATTAATCTTCACTGTTTGATCTCCTAAAAAAACTCCCTGAGGATTCTGAAATGCCATACTTTGCAAGTTTCTTAGAGAAGCAGGGCTAGACAGAGCATAATTATCTTGGAAACTTCTTTTGCAACTTCCCACTTCTGTAATTGACACTAGAGATAGATTTCTCCCACTCTTCCATAATTAGCAATGTAAAATACCCGGTTTAATTGTCAGCGAACTGACATTTAAGTGTACTGCAATTGCAAAGACAATTGAGGTTTATCATCCTCTGAGCAATTTTATTCTGCTCTAGCACAAATTGTGCTGAAGGGAAGTAATTGCCATACTGAAGTAGCAGCAACAGAAGTTTCACCAGAGTTGCCCCACTGTAATTTGGTTGGAGGAGCTGTGGAAATGAGGGCTTTGCTGCACACTGTTTTAGTGGTGCTTTGGGACATGTTACCCAGCCTGATTATGAGGAGAATGTGGTGATGTTGGAAGGATCTGTAGGGATAGAATGGAGAGAGATCTTTAAAGTAGCATCAGATTACTCCTGAGAGAGTATGAGCTCATCCAAAAGAGCTGTGATAGATGTTCATCTGGAACCAATGCCATGTGCACAATATAAATCTTGAGTTATTTAAAACAAACATCAAAGCCTTTAAAATCCTGAAATATGTGACTGTTAAATATGCTTTAAAAAAGGATGTAAAAAATATAGAAGACAGAAAGGGAAAGAATTTGCAGAGATACTGAGATAAATATATAAAGAAAATATGTTCTAGGAAACAAGAGCAGGGTGCCTGCCAGGAGAAACTGTTGCGAAGGTACAGCTAAAATGAAAAACAATGAGAGTGTGAAGAAGGTAATAAGGAATAAACCAGTAATGTCTACACTGGTATGTGAACTGAAATGAGATTACATGTATTACTTATAAAATCCTCTTTCATTATTAAAAAGATCATTTCAGCAACAGACACAATTACGAGTGAAGAAAATATGGGCAATGTTTCACAGGCTAGGTATTTCCTCCCTTTGAAGTTTTTTTTCATTAAATGTGGAGTTTTTTTAATTATTATATTAAAAACTAAGTAGATATTCACTGGTAAAGCAACTAATAAAAAATGTGAATGGTTACTGCTGTTGAGAATTAATGTAATCTGCCATGGTCATGAAAGACTCGTTACGAACTGACTGAATCATGTATTGTGGATGATAAATCTTTAAGAATTGTCTGAAAACTACTTTTACGAATTTTGGGGGTTCTTTCCTTGAAATTTATGCAAGTAAAGTTACAGCCCTGTTCCCTTTTTCTTTTCAAAGGCAAAGTAGATCATGTCAGGAAGGAAATAACTCCATGAAATTGCTGAGTATGTAAAAATTTCTTTGGGGGTGGAGGGGTGGAAATCTCGTTCTTGTTTACTCACCTGTTTGTTTCTGAGGTGATTACTGGAATCAACATTTGCACGTGAGGAGTGTGGGAGGAAAAACTACTTGCCATGGCTGGTGCTGTGTGCAGTGACAACCCTCGTGATGGATGTTCTAGGGAAGTTGTGACGTAGCAGCATGAGACTCGAGACAGACAGGCCAGGACACAGGACAGGGGTAGCAAACTGATTACGTGAGGAGCTGAACGCCACGTTCCTTCAGGAGCTAGCAGAGGCCGTTTGCGCTTCACAAGCACCAGGAATGCCGGCAGTCAGAAGTGCAATCTCCAGCCGGGGTTTGGTGTCGTACCTCAGGCCTGGCACCAGCCTGGCAGAGCTGCTGCTCTCGGCAGCTGGGCAGGAAGGCAATGCTCACATCAAGCCTTTGCTACCCTCTTTTAGGGTTTGGCCCCTGCGTTGATTCCCACTGAGAAGTACAGGCTATGGATCTGTGGGGTCCTGCAGCTTACAGGGGGTGGGGTTGTGGCAGAAGAACTGCAGCCTTGTTCCTGACCTCATGTAAAGCCTCAGCATTTCCCCCTTCTCCTCAGGTCTGTGCACCTCATGCAGAAATCCAGAGAGAGCAGAGGGCATTGGTGAGCTGTAGTTGGGAAGGATGGCTGTGGCACATTGGTGGAGGTTTGCCATGGTTGAAACCCCCTATTTGTGTGATGTCCACAGTGCGGACCTACCCCATGTCCCAGTTTTGTGAGGGGCATGTCCTTGCAGTGAGGAGTGGTCCTAATCCCTGCGTAGCCATGTCATATTTTGAGTTGAGCGAAATCTGAGGTACAGGAATGTTGAGATAATTGTCACAACAGTTCTGGAGAGAAAAAGGACTTATAGATTAACCATTCATTGAAAGGCTGTTGTAAGATGCCAGTGGTAGGTAAAGGCTGGCAAATGTGAAACCTTCAGCTGATAGATTTTAAGAAGCAGGTTTGATTCAGTTGTGTAAGCACAGGTCTCTGGTCCTACAGAGATGCTCTAGGATCCCTTGTGGCAACCAGTTACCTGCAGGGCATGGACGGGATGTCCAGTGACCTGTGGCAGATGTCCTGGTCCCAGGAGAAGCCCCACACATCCCAAGGGGCTCACACACTATGAAGGGTTAATGCAGTTCAGCCAAGGCAGAATGTGTTCTTGTAATGCTGAGCAACTGCAGAACACTTCACAATGTCCCATTCCACGTCACAGCTCTCAGAAGGACATACAGGCATAGGAAAGTCAACAGAAAGGCACTGCCTGGGATCCATAATATGACATGATTGTCATATTCTTAATAATTTGCATTAATTCTTAATAATTTGCATTTCTTTCTGAAGAAACCATTGCATAATTTGGCTGCAAGTGGCTGAGATCTCGTTTTGGGTGTAATGAGAGTTCACAGTTCTTAGAATCTGTGTACATATGATGTGTAGCATCTCAAAGAATGATGGATTTGCCTCCTCAATACATAGTTTGCCCCTCTTGCATATTTTTATCTTTCTTTGTTTCACCCATTTCTTTTTTCCTTTTTGATTAAAAAAAGTTAGAATCTTTTGTGTATTCTAATCAGACCCTGATTTGGGTCTGCTATTTTAAGTTTATATTTTCTAAAGCCTTTTTAAAATTTGATATTTAAGATTTTAATAGTAAAGCTTCTTAAAACTACTGACATAAATTAAACGGTTAATTCTACAGAGATGACCACCTCCGTGAGGCTGCATTGTAGGAGACTACAGGTAAACCTGTGTCAGGATGCAGTCTTTGCACAAAACCAGCTAGCCATGGGCTCCAGCTAATCAGCAAATGCAGCAAAATGTTCTTTTTGGAGGACTTCTTCCATTGCTCTCTGTTTAGTGAACATTAGATCAAACATTGGTTTCTGAAGGGCCCTGTGATTGCAACAGTACTGTACATTTGGTAATACTTGGAAATGCCGCAGTCATTTCCCTTTCCTGTGAAGATGTAAGTCCCCAAACATCCTCATCTGGCCTGTAATTGGTGATAAACATCTCTGTTCACAATTTGTTTGGATTCTACTGTACCAAGTCCTGTGTAATGGCTCATTGCTGCACTTAGAGTGAGACTCCCTAATATTCATTTCTTGGGAGTTGAAAGATGGGATATCTAGAGTTAGTATGGAAGTACAAAAATAATGAGGAGGACTTGAGAGAAAAGCCTCCCAACAACTTATTCTCTGAAATCACTGGAATGCACAGTGGAGAGACATTTTATGTTGTCATTTACTACCCATCTGTACAAAAAAAAAAAAAAAAAATAGGATCGGTTATTTCTAAAGTTTTATTTTGGGTGACTCTAATTGTAAGCAGATTTTTACTTTGTTTTATAGACCTGGTCTACAATCTGCATTTTTAATTCTACACTTAATCATCTATACACAAAGAGTTGATGTAAAATTCATGGAAATAACTGTATAATGATAGAATAAAAATTTCACAGCTGTTATTAAGAAAGTAGGTCAACATAGTTCATATTTACAAAGGAAACTGTCAGCTCTTTTGAAAACAAAACGCAAAAAAGCCCTAGATCATTTGTCCAATATGGGTTGTTTTTTATGATTTTCTTAAGGGAGCCTTCATAGGTCAACAGTTTCCAGGGTTGAATACGTTTAATTGCTGTAGTGGTTTTATTAATCTGCATTTTAATTTTGCCAAATTTAATATTTAAAGAATCAGCCCTTTGATTTTTTTTTTCATTCTTAAATATATGAGGGAAGAAGGAGAATTCTGCCAGTTCAGCTATTTTCAAGTTTTTTATCTTTTTTAACAGTACCGTTGAATGATTAATGTGAACAAATGCCTTTTAGGTTTGTCTACCAGTGGAAAAGTATACCTGAGCTCATTCAAGTGCTGTTAATGAAAATGACAAAAGCAGTGATTTGTTATTGCAGCTGCCATTAGTTACTGTTTTATAAATCATATGACCTGAAGAAATACTGTGTTGTTGCCCTGCATCTGGTAACCCAAAAGAAAAGTCAAGCAAGAGAAAGATCTCTAGCAGTTAACAACAAATCTATTTTGGGAAAAGGACCCTCTTTTTTTTTCCAACTGGGGAGCGTGGGATAGACATGGGGGAGAGGAAACCAAGCCCCAAACCCCAACATTTTATTTATTTCTAGAAGGAAATATAAAATTAATAAGCCCACCAAGAATAAGGGTTGGTAGACTCATGATCTGTAAAATGCCCACTAAACATTTCATGCCACAAAAACATGTTTGTGTGTCCCTCTGTGATTTCCCTCAGTATTTTCCGTGGGTAAGTTTTTCCTCCTTCTGGATAATCTCCTTTCTGCAGGGAGGAAGGGTCTCTCTACCAGTCTAGGACCTGAGCAGCCCTTTGAGTGACTCCTTTGGAAGGCTGTGTGTGCTGAACCTGTTTGGGTACGTAGAGTTGTTATTCTTGGTCACCACAAGGTTCTTCCATTTAGACACACATATCAAGGTCTTCTCAGTTTCTAAGTCAAACAGAAATGGGAAGACTTTCCTTAATGTGATCCTTGGTTTATTTATTGTGTGCATTTTGTTGGTGTTTTGTCAGGTTGGCTTTTGTCACCTATTTTCTTCCCTGAAGGAATTGCTTTTTTTAAGAGATCCTATATTTTTTTTTCTTTGCTTGGCATCTTGCAGGCCTAATCAAACTGAAGTCCAACAGGAATTAACAGCAGCAAAAGCTATGCTATCCCTAGCTGGATTTCCTGGGGAGTCTTTTCTTGCTGAGTGGTTTTATGAGCTGTATAATCACATATGTGTATGATAATCCCTTTATATGGGGTCACTGCAAAAGGAAAGGATAATCTGTTGTAGTAGCACTCCCTTTTTTTACAACACCAAATTCTCTTAAAGCTTTCTGTTCTGGTGGAGGTTATGCTCAGACCTGCTTTGTATTCTGCTTTGGACATATACATGAATCCTATCTTGAGAATTCAATAAAAAATGATGGATGAAAAGATTTTTTGAGGCCTTAGATAACTGATAATTTAAACATGTCCACTTCCATCACATGTTGTCATCGTCACGTTGTCATTAGGGCTCACATATAATTACAATTTACCAATATAACTTCCCACAAAGCCAGACATCATATTGTACATTTGATATTTATTGATCAGCATACTTCTCTGTCATCAATAAATCACCGTACCCTCTCTGCAGGAGTAGCTTGTGCTGTGCACCACAATAATAGTACTGCTTAGAGTCCAATTTTAATGAGGTTTGAGATTATTAGATTGGTTATTGATGTAAACCAGGGTACTGTAATAATTAACAAATCAACAAGTTCTCTTTAACAATTTATGGATGAGAGAGACCTGTCTGTGCTGCAGGAGGATGTTCAAAGGCTTGCTTGTATCTAATTGTCAGAGAGTCTGAAGGGAAAGTAATGTGTTTGTGTGTCCATACCCAGAAAAACAAGCCAAAATACCAATGCATTTTATCTCTGAAGAAAAACCCAGAAGACACTGGTAATATTTTAGTATACTCTTGATCAAGTGCCTTCATAGCACATGTTTTACATGATAATCAGCATAAATTTGACCCTACACCAATGAATACACACGAATACTATACTCCATAGTTTAGGCAAACAGCTTTTTACTTTGAAAGACTGTAAGACTAAAACAACAGCAAATGCAGCAATGCAGATGTTTTTTTCTGCTGTAATGCATAGTCAAATAAACATTTATTTCCCAACAGCAAAATGCTTTTAAAAAAATATTTTTAGTTTTCCCTAAACCCTAGTTTTTAGGGTTTTATTGTGGGGTGAGGAAAACAAAACAAGGAGTCTTCCTTGGGGAGGGGGAAGATAATGCCTTGTGAATTCTAACATCAACAGAACAGTTTAATAGTAATATTCCTCTGCTGCTGATTTCTCCTATCTTCTTTAGATCTTAAACACTTGTGTGCCAGAAGAAACCTTTCTACATTTTCAACCATTCTCTTCAATTTCCCATTAGTTTGAAGACTGTTTGAGCTTTTGGTAGAACTGTGATTCAAGAAATCATGGGTGGGAATCTCTTTCCATGTGCCTGTAGAGTATTCTCTGTGTTGCATCAAAGCAGGACTGTGTTGGCTCTTGAATATTCCTCATAATTGATTTCCTTGCAGGACTGTCAATGTTTATCTGCAACAAGAATGGGAAAGTCCTGACAACTGTGATTAGTGGAGGTCGAGAGCAGCAGTGAAGTCTGTGTGGCTGGGCCTGTATGCAGAATATGGCAAGGCTCCAAATGTCAGGGAGTTTAGCAGGATGAGTTTGGTTTGCTCACTACTTCTAGGAAGAAGAAAACAGGGACAATTCAGGCAGGAATTGTCCTGTCAACATGGTTTGGATGGAGTGGCTGCAGTGGAAGGAGTAGCTGAAAATTGCTGGTATCCAACCCTGCTTTCCTCTGCTAAGAATTTTTCCTAGAGCTACAGTTAGGTTCCAGAAAAAAAACTGATGAGTCCAAGTGCCTGGAGGTGCACAGTACCAGTGGAAAAAAAAATACTAATAGTGTTATGGCGTGAGATAAAATTGAGCCTATATATCACTTTGTTTAGGAAAGGTTTTAGTTCCTAGAGTTTTCCTGCTGCAATTCATGGTTTTTAGCAGATAAACTGAAGCTCTGCAGGTGTGTAACAGCAGAAAGGTCTGGTGGTCAACAAAAACACCAAATAAAAGGAACACCAAATAAAAGGAACCCTTTGAAAATCCATCAGCTTATGATGAGTTCCATTGGTTGTGTTCAGCTTGACCTTGTCTGTTAGTGTGGAGAGGAGACATGTAAAGATTTGGTTGGTGCTGATGCCTTTTATGGGTTGAGATCTTCCTCCTCCAGAGGAGTCATTTGAGTGGCCCCTTTTTAAATGCTGCTGTAATTTGAATATAACTGTGTTTCATATCCTCATGAGCATCTAGTTTTCTAGAGTGGTGCATAGTTCTTCTGTTAATAGCATATATCAAGAAAATGGGAAATTGGGCTGTCCTGAAGCTCTAGAAAACAGACGGCCAATAGAAAGATTCAAATACACACTACTTTAGAAAAAATTGCACAGCTTATTTATAACTGTCCTGATTTAAGCCTTTACGTTTGATTAATGAATTTATGGTTGGCAATAGTGACATTTCTCTAAGTCCAAAATGTGTTGCTGAGTTCCCTATAGCTGCACATACTAAAAAAAAAACCTGAGAAAAAAGGACAAGAATGCATTGTTGTTCCAATTGGCATTTAAAACAAACAGAGGGAACTTTAAAATTTGCTCAAGATTTGGATTACAGGGAGTGGTTTAGTCATTTAAAGCAGCAACTGCTCTCAGCCAACATTTGGAAATCCAGCTGATTTGGCTTCTCCTCCAGTGCCAGCAGGGAGGCTGCATTTTGAGACTCTATAATAATTTCATTGTTACACATAAACCAGAAAATAATGTAGCATGATTCTTTAGTTATGTCAGCCTGCCAGAGGCAGTGGCAGTAAAAGCCAGTGTTGGCTTAGTTTTGCAAGGAGAGTAATAAGCAGGAATGTTTAAAGGTCATAGACCATGTTTGGCTGAGCAGGAATGACTTTTTTCTGTAGCTATTTGTCAGGGAAAAAACCCAGATACTTTACATACATATTTATACACATTTGCTGTTTTCCTGAAAAAAAAAAAAAAAGGCAAAAAAAAAAGCAATGTGTCTTGGAATCTTTCTTTTCACCCATTTGCAAAGGGGACAGCACTGGATAGAGTTTTTACTTTGCTCAGTTATATTTACTCTTGCAAAGAGCAGACTGAGATATAGATATATAGATACATAGAGATATATATGCAGCAGTGGGATAATCCAAAATACAGTAAAGAGATATCTATGGCCTCTGGATCTGATGTTAAAAAGAAAAAAAAGAAGAGAACAGATCCATGAATTTGGTTCTTAACTGAGTTGTGAATTTGCTTTTGTTCTTGGTGGATGTAGTTGAAAGATTTGCCTATGGTTGAGATGTGGATTCAAATATTAAAATTCTGTGTGGAAAAGAGTTTGCGGGGGGGACGGATAGAAGTTTTCACTCCCTTTGGTGCAAGAGGAGCTAGGCATTTGTTGTTGGTCTGCTGTGTGACACTTCAGGCATTTCTATAAAATAAAGAGCTTGTAGTCACCTCATTGGGAGCCTGGGGTTGGATGTAACTTATAAAGAGCTTCCTGGCCATGGAAATCCTTTTCCTCTGTGATTTTGTCTTCTTATAAGCTTCACAGGCAAGCCACAATTCTATGTTTTCATCACTGTGTTCTGTCTGCAAGTAGGTCTTACAGATTATAGGCCCATCTGTAAATATTTCAGAAGCCAAATTTATATTGCCTGTGTACATGCATTACTTTTAGAGTGCTTTGGAGGTAATAGGGACACTTATGAGGTAGTGTCTCAGCCCTACACTTCGAACTTGCATTTTCCTGCACATGCAGGGCTCCCTAGTAAATTAATCCCACAGTAAATCTAAGGTAGGCAACACTTTGCCTATGTTTCCTGAAGAGCTGCAAATCCATTGAGTTTAGAGTATCTCGCTTTTTATGTGAGTCCACCTTTCCATTTTGGGTGTCGTAAAGCTTTTAAATTAATTAAAATTCAATGAGTAGTGTTTTTAAGTGCAGTGAAGGAGGCATTTTAAGAAGGGCATCATTCTGACTACTGTTGGAAGCTTGAAGTGTTTTATTTAAAGCAAACTTTGTTGCTGTTGCAGCATTCTGGCCTTTCAAATTTCCGAAGATGTTGAGCACATCTGGCAGAGGTGGTGATCACGTGTGCCTGCTGCTTCTGCTGTCATTTTGTCTCTTTGAACAGCTTTCTTTTGAGGAGTTTCTCCCTGTGCTGTAACATACTAGGTTGTTTAAGATTTTAATGGCAATGTTCTGTTACAAAGGCTGTTAGTCTTCTTGCTCTTTGTAATTTTTCTGCAGTTTGAAAATAATGCCAGTCCTTGGGAGTAATTTTTAGAGGTTTGTGCTGTGACTTTTTCATCACTATTTTAAAAAATGTAATTCAGCAGTGATGTTCTGGACTGCTGCCCATACAAGAAATTTGGGAGAGCTCTGAGCCCTATATGAAGCAGAGGGGGGTGGAGTGGGAAAGTTCAGAATTCCTGCTGCATCTACAGTTCTTCCCATCCCTGAATATTGGAGCTGCCTTCCACGGCATTCCCCTGAATAAATATGCCATTATATGGTCTCTATGGTGTACTCTTAAGTGGGGATGTGGTAGACAAACCATGCCTTCATGAGGTGTCTGTAAAGAAATTACACATGATTGCAGGAATGGCAAGTTTGGGAAAGCATTTGCAGCATGCTATGTTTATTTCCAGAGTGATGTATGCTAGGCATGTCACAAAGTTGTTTTTCATTAGCTGTGTATAAGGCAGCATATATTATACACCATGAGTTTCTGATTTTGCTTTGTTGGAACTTTTCTCAGCAATCCATCTGGGACACAAAGACACAATTACTTACATTTGCTTGTTACCAGATTTTCAAAAAACTGGGACCACTATAGCACTTCCTCCAGAGACACCCTTTAGAAAAAAAGAGGTCATCATTGTCGGATTAGCTGTGGCTCAAAGTATAAAAAACCTAATTACCTTGTTGAAAATCTGTCCCCTAATTTAAATATGAGCTTTATGAATCTTACATTTTAAAAGGCTTTCTTGCATCTTCCAGATCTTGTGCTTACTATGCCGAGACAAATATTTTTCTTGCTGTAACAAATGCAGTTCCATTTCAAGGTGCTCCATGTAATTCCCCTAGAAATGGCATTCACTTATTTAAACTGTGCTTAGGAGAAACACAAGAAAGGTACTGCCTTTCTAGACAGCAACTTCTTTGGAGACAGGAATCATCATAGAATTCAGGAAATATTGATGTTTGTATTTAGTAGCAAAGTCTTTGGGGCACAAGATCTTACTGTAATATTTCAAGACCATTAACATCAAAGTTGACTTATCACCTGAGAGCTGAGTATAAGCTCCAAGAATAAGGTAAATAATGAAAGGTTAATGAAATCTTAGCTGGAAGAGATTTCCATCTCTCATCAGTTGTTTACAATGCAGTGTGACACATTATTACTAATCTGCACAGCCCTTGGAAGTGGCTAAAGTCAGATTTTACATTCATGTTTGCTGTTCTTAAACAGTAAGCTTGTGGGAGTTTCATGCCTGATTCTGGGAAAGAGCATGGAAGTAGTGAGGTGAGAGACTAAACAATTTAAGGAAAAACAAATGCTGGAGGGCAGTATCTCCATTTAAGTGCATGTAGCTCCATTTACACCAACATATTTTCAAGTATTGCAGTTTTAGGACGCCAGTGGTGGCAACTTGGAAGAGATGCTTATGCTTATGTTAGTAAAAGAAAGGACAGGGGATGTATTCCAGTGGGTGCTTCCATTATGCATCAGCCAAATTTGGAGTATGATCCCCTCTCATTTGCTTTTCATGGCAGCCATAATTTTGTCAACAACTGTTTAGTATCACAGGGCTTTTTAAAATTTAAATCAAAATTTGCTTTGATATGAGTGCTGCATGATGCTTCATAGATTTCTGCTGCAGAACAGCCATTACCTGCTCTGTAGCTTTTTTAATTGGTAATGATTTATAATTTATTTATAACTTGATACAATTCCCTCTTTCTCAGAAAAAGCACATGACTAGGCAACTATTTTCTCAGGCTTGTGATCAGTCGGACATGGCCAAAGAAATATAGAGTAAGAGAAATGCTACCACTATTGAACTGTGTTGTCAGTAACTCTCTAGTAACTCTTGCCACTAAAAGATATTTTTTTCCTTCTTGTGAGCTATTAACCTCTCTGTAAAAACTCATGAAGCATGTGGTTATGGGGAGTGAGAATCTCTAGTTCTTTGAATGATTTTTTGTTTTCCTTACAAACTACTTCAGAGTCATATTTGCTCTTCCTGATGGAGATAATTTTCCACGTGACGCAGAAAATTTTTCACCTGTCAGCAACAGCACTTGTATAGAATGAGTGACAATCTTGTCTGTCTCACTGAACATCATCAGGAGAGCCATCTTATTTCTATTTCTGATTATTTGTCTTTAGCATTAATCTCTGAAACAGAAAAACCCTGGCTGATGGGGAAGCTGACACAGAGGAAAACCTTTTTACCTTTTTACCTTTTTTACTTTCCTTTAGCAATCAGGAAAATATGAAGGGCAGTAAGGGAATAGGTTAAGATGATCTGAATTAATGCCCCTTTAGCAGCTGTTGTTCTGATAGTAAATGTCTTGTTGCACTGATTTGCACCATCATTGAGTTTGCTGAAGGACATATATTACACTGAAAAAAAAAAAAAAACTCTCCAAAAATAACTAAGGCTTTATAGCTGGGACTCAAAAATTTAAATTGTAGTGTCCTGTGGGAGCTATTTCTCACTTACCATCCACCCTCCACTGTGAGTGTCTCCCCTCACCACCATGGTGCAGAAATCCTCATCCTGTAGCTGGAAATACTGTCTGGATTTCTACTCCTGACTTCAGGGGTCATCATGTGCTCCTTAGTATTGCCATGAGGGGTGTGTCGCAATAAATCGGTTCTGTGTCTGACCTGATACCAGCAGGAAACACTCTGGATGGAAGAACTCCACCACCCCAGTGGGACATGTCCTCCAGATTCCTGGCAGTGCTTGGCCCCCACAGAGCCTGGTGGCACCCGAGGACTTGCAGGAGCCACTTGGCCACATCTCTTATGCACCGCATGAATATTCAGCCTTTGCCAACAGCCTGAATTCTTTTAAAAGATGGACCCCAAATATGTGGCTTTCTAATTCCTCCCAGGTCCAAATCTGGACTTAATCCAGAGGTGAGTTTGGGCCTATGCCTGTGTAACATTAAGGGAGCTCCCAGTGGGATGTGCCATCATACATCCGTGTGCTGTTGAGGAAGGGGCTGCCCGAAAGTGCTTGGCTGGGGCAGCTGTGAAGGTGTTGCCCTCTTTTGCACAATCTTAAGCTTACAATGAAAACCTCCACTGTGAATTTGTTTCTCCTACTCAGCTGCATGGACTGCAGAACATAAGATTCTTATCCTTACTTACTTAGAACTGATCCCATTTTCTTCTGGTCTGAACATCTTGCAAAGCCAGCAAGTATTTGAATTCATTCTCCTAAACATGGAAAATACGTGAGTTTTTTGAATCTGCTGTGCTGAGCTTTATTTTCTTAAATAAAAACTTATAATTTATACCTACAGCAGTGCAATCAGTTCTAACAGTATTCTTATTTTGTACATCTGGTCTTTATCTATGAGTCATTTCTGAAGCATTTGACAAAAAGAAATATTTTGTAAGATATGAGAACTTAAAAAAAAAGGGCAAATTACCAGGCAGTCCAGTGGATGTCTCTCAGGGAAGAATAGAAATGTTAATAATTTTCCCTCTTTGCTTCTCCAAATATGAAAGGAGATTGAAGGTTGACCCTGACCCAAAGCAGAATGAAAATAGAAGTATTTTTTTTCCCTGAAAGCTCAGGGTGACCAGGATCAAAGATCAGAGCTCAATGTAAACTGGACAATGCTGAATAAGTTGTTGTGTCTGAGATTAACATTGATATTTGTCCAGCAGGTATCTCAAAGTCAATAAAAGTCATATAAAATTGCCTTTATATAGATATGATATCCATAAGGGAGGGTATAGTTTATTAGGATGAGGCAGTTGTAAATGTTTGTCTAAAAAAGACAAAATAAAAAAATCTCTTGTGACATGGAATATGTTTAGTGCTTCTCCTTTGGCTTTCAAGCAATGCCAAATGCTGAGTTTACATTGGACTGTAAGTTTGTGTAGGCCTGCCTGAAATCAAAATAGCCTTATTTATTTAAACTTGGAGTTTCTTTCAGATTTGGGGTTGACTGGCACATATTATACCTATGACCAATTTTTTCCTTCCAAACGAAGCACACAGTAAAACACAGGACAAGGTTCTATCTCCCAGCTTTCTGAAGCTGTGCAATGCTTCCTTTGTCTTTAGCGTTGTTTTCCTTGTTTCCCTTAGGTCTATATTCAATTTTATATAAAATGAGGGTCTCGCCCAGTACAATTCCTGCAGGGTATTGAAACATCATAACTTTGCCCGACTGCCACACTGCAACTCCTGCTCATATTCTCTGCAGCCCTGTAGGACTGCCAGTGGCTGCTGGCTGCTTCAGAATTCTCTCAACTGTGTTCTCTGTTATGTCTCCATGATTTTTTTAATTGTTCCACTGGAATTTACTCATCTCACTCTCTGCCTAAAAGCAGCTGTTTAAAACTACACAATATTCCATATTTAAGGTGAAATTATTCATTAAATTCTGGTATATGGTTATTATTTATCACCTTATTTTAGGCTATATTGCCCAATGCCCTCTATTTTGGGTGTTTTCATGTTGCAATCATTCATCTTCTATCCACTGAAATGTAAATGAAATGCAGCCTTTGTGGCTTTTTTGAAACCTAGAGAAATTAATGTAGGTTTCTTACTATTCAGAAATTCTCAAGAAATATTATATGAAGCAATATTAAGTAATCTAGTTCAGCTACTTCTATCTGAATTCAAAGTGCCAATTACTAATTTTTTCTTCAGGTGACAGCCGCACAAAGTGACTTTTGTGTAAGGATGTTGTGGTGTGTTTTTAGTTTCTTTATTTGGCATATTTTACTGCTTAATTTGTGGTTTTGAAATCCCTCTGTGTTTTCTCCCCCTGCCCTTGGAGTGGCACAGGTTCCCCTTTTTATATCTTATGTTGCTAAATTTAGACTTGCTCCCTCATTGTTATTCAGCTCAGTTAACTGTCAATTCTTGTTTGTTGCCTGGCCACTCCCTGCCAAGTTGTCAATCCCTCCCGTTCCTACCCTTTTCCCCAAAAACCTCCCCTGCTCCTCCCCTCCTCAGATGTCAATCCTTCCCCAACCCTTCCCTTTCTTCCAGAACCTTCCCTTTCTTCCAGAACCTTCCCTGTCAGTTTTGTATCCTTTGAAATCCCATTGGTTTACTTAAGCCTTTCCCCTCCCTTAAGATCCTCTATTGGTTTACAGATTGTATTTCCCTGCCTTGTGTTTCACTCCCAGTTCTCCCTATTGGTTAAAAATTGTATCCTTCCCCAGGACTGTCCCTGTTTATAAGCTAGTGCCTGCCCTCGGTTTAGGGTCCTGGGACTTTGGACTCGGGGAGTTTATCATCAAGTAAAGTCACCCCAGTTCCTGCCCTAAGACCCGTGCTGCTGCGTCTTTATTAATCTGAGCCGACCCTTCGCTGGCAGCTGGAATTCTACGGGATCTGCCAGGGGGATCTGTCGCGCACCATGTTGTCGCCATCGCCGGGCCGGGGGCTTAGAGCCCCCACGCCGTGACATAAGGAAATGTTACTGTTCTGAGGAGCCATTTTAATTTGAGTTACAAGCTTTAAACTTGTTGAGAACACACATTTTCCAAGCATACACCTCCAGGGCTTTGTGGTTCTCTCTTCTTTTTAAGTCAAACTTATTTCCTAATAGACCAAGTAACAGAGCATGCTGATTTTATCTTTACCAGTGCTGATTTGGAACTTCCTTCCACTGAGGCGTAGTCTATGTTTCATTAGTGTGACACTGTGTGTTTCTGCTGACAGTGGTCTTAACCCTAGAACGAGACAGGAGCAGTACAAAAGCTACAGCACACCCTAGCTGCACTAGCAGGGTGCTAGTTTTGGATCATCGAACTCCCACAGGAGCAGCCTGTTACCTGTCACAGTGTCCTATTAGTGCCCTGTCATTTGTCATAAATGGTACATGGCATATTAACTCCTCCTTACAGCTTTGCAGTGTTCACATAACTAGACTTGGATCGTGGAACTCTTCTCACCAAATATTTATGAAGCGTAGTGTCCTTTCTCTTTGCTCGTTCTAAGATATTATTGCAACAAGGCAACAAGCTCTTTAATGTGTAGGAGCTGTGTGTTTCCTGCAGGACTGGTAGTCAAGCAAAACCCCACATGGCTACAACTCTTTTGCAGAAGGAATTGCCTGACTGATGATAAATTAATCTAAGTACTGGAGTTATTAATGTCTGTAAAACATATAAGCAGTGCTGATCTGGAAGTGACTTTTTCACTGTTTTTATATTTTATATTGGAGAAATATCAGGAAAACTGATTTGGTACATCAAAAAAAAGATCTATTTACCTTTCAAATTACAATATACATTTTGATTTCTGAGCACCCTTATTCTGTGCCAATGAATCTGTAAACTACCTGTCCTAGTTTAGGACAAATTAGGGGAAATCTCCAAAAGGGAGCCCCCTAAAAAAAAACCTCCAACCACCCCTCCCCCAATACCGGGTTCGGGAAGGAATTCCTCGGAGGAGCACAGTGGAAAACAAAACCTATTTATTAACAAATAACAAAAGAACACTCCCCAACACAAGAAAAGAAAAGAAAAGAAACCAGGCAGTGCTGTGGAGAGCGCTGAGCTTCTCTCGCAGACTCCGGGGGTCCTGGACGTCCCAGGTCAGGTCTGGAGCCGGTCCGGTATCTTCGGGGGAGGGTAAGAAAAAGGGAACGAAAGAAAAGAAAGAAAAAAAAAAACAGCGTAGAAAGCAGAAGCAGCAAGAAAAACAGCTATCAGCTAGCAGCCGAGGCATGAGCAAGCAAGCAAGCAAGCCAGCCAAGCCAAGCAGCCCAAAAGCAAAAGCCCAGGTGCCCGGTCACACTCACCCCTCCCTCCCCGCCCCGCCGCGGCAAGACGGCCGGGGGAGGAAAAGGTGCAGCTGCCAGACACAACACACGATATTGGGATAAAGGCTGTCACCCCACGACACTACCAAATGCCACAAATTTTAGCACACAACATAACTTTCATCAGAGAGATACTGCTATGTAAAAGTTCTAACTGATTGCCCATGTAGTGTTCACACACAATTCACAGAATCACTGGGTTGGAAGAGATCTTCAAGATCATAGAGTCCAACCCATGCCCTAACACCTCAACTAAACCCTGGCACCCAGTGCCACATCCAGGCTTTGTTAAACACACCCAGGGATGGTGACTGCACCACCTCCCTGGGCAGACCATTCCAGGACTTTATCACTCTTTCAGTGGAAAACTTTTTCCTAATATCCAACCTATATTTCCCTTGGTGCAGCTTGAGACTGTGACCTCTCGTTCTGTCAGTGCTACCTGGAGAAAGAGACCAACCCCAGCTGAGCACAGCCACCTTTCAGGGAGCTGCAGAGGGTGATGAGGTCACCTCTGAGTCTCCTTTTGTCCAGGCTGAACATCCCCAGCTCCCTCAGTCATTCCTCATAGGACTTGTGTTCCAAGCTCTCACCAGCCTCGTTGCCTCCTCTGGATGCGCTCCAGCCTCTCAACGTCCTTCCCACACTGAGGGACCAGAACTGGACACAGCACTTGAGGTGCGGCCTCACCAGTTATTCAGGTTACTTTGCACTGACTATTACACAGTATATTCACCTATGTAGGGCTAAAGCTGGGTGTATATCAGCAATGTTTCTAACATGAATGCCTTTGCAATGCTGAGAACTTTACATGCCAATAGAAAAAACAGGTGTTCCCCCACCTATGCTACATTTTCCTGATAATATTTCAAAGTGCAAATCTCATACTTACAGAAGCTTCTTTTAGGTTGTTTCCTTTGATTAAAAAGCTTCATTTAGTAGTTGCATTTGCCAGGGTAGCTTTCCAAATTTCTTGACTTGCTTTTTTGTTTTGTTATTTTCTCTTAGTATGGATGGTCTTAGTACCCACTGTCCATGTCTGTGCTGCTCATAACAGTGCCTGACTCCTCTTTTATACACATCACAGGCAAACATTGGCCATGGTTTCCATCAGAAAAAGCTCCTTTGGGCTCCAATGCTCCACTGATAGAGCCTGTTTACACTGAAATTATCTTGACATCTCTACTGGTCAGCTGTAATGACATGAAGCTGTACTTTACTTCATGGAAATCTTGCATGTATTGTCCGAGTCCTGTGACTGGTATTTTCCATTATCAAGGTTCTTTTTATGAAATCTGCAGTCCATGTTGAAATGAGACAAAGAGCACGAGTACCCTTGCACTGAAACCAACTTTGTTCTTACAGGCAGCATTATGACAGCATTTTGGAGTGCTCTGGGAGAACCTTTTACTGCTCAGACCCATCAGTGTCAGGCTTTTGTATGCTCCTGTCTGCCTAACATGGTACTGCACAGCATCTGAGGAATGTTAAAACTTTTTAAACTTGTATGAGGTCGTCTATTATTTTTCTTACAGCTGTTGCCCAGGTTATGGCTTCATTTTCAGTTGGGACACATCTATGTTTTGCTCGTTCTTCCCTAGCCAAGTGTTTGAAATGAGCCATGCAGTGCAGTACACTGAAGTTGCTGTTTGTCGTGGAAGACTGATGCTGACTGACAAGATTTACAGTGATGCTAGGGCTTTGAGAGTAAGCAGTGGCTCAGCTGCTTGCTGCAAATTAGTCACAGCAGGGGATCTTTCTGGAGGGCTTTCTGTCCTTCCTGGGGTGGTTGTGACTTGGGATCTCTGGGAATTTGCCATTGCTTACGAGGCACAGAGTGACCCTGTTGGGAGGGGAAGGTTGCTCATGTCCGTGCTCCCTCTGACAGCCCAGCTCTGTGCTGTGATATCTTTCAATCTTCTCTCTCTGCTCTAGCTCATCTTTTTTTTCCTCTTACAGAGCCTCCCAGGCAGAGCATGAACTGTGTAGGATTGGAACTTAAACTGAGGTTTGAGTCTCCAACAATGCAGTACACTCATTTATTTTATTGCAGCTCACCCTACCGGCACACAGGCTTTGTGTATGAGATGCGCGTCCCTTTTCCCACAGCACTGGTTCTGCTGGAGAGGAAATGTGTGTGGTGTGCTCACCTCCAGCAGAACCTGGTGGCAGGGCAGCATCACATGAGACCTTGTCCTGTGCTTAGGGAAGGGCAAATATCACTGTGATCTATTTTCTATTGATTGCTATTTCATTAAATCTCATTCTATATTCATTGCAACTTTACACAGGATTTTGGAGTATTTTGTTCCATTTCTCTAATGGGAATGGGCAGGAGCAAATTAACTTGAGCTGATTGTTCAAATAATCACACCAGGGAGATGTTTCAAGTTTGTTCTGTGCCTCCTCATACTTCTAATGCTTCATATACAGGCAATTATATACTAAAGCAACTGAGGGCCAGAACTTGACATATTAAAATATGTCTATAAAGAATCTCATTTGTAGAACTCCTTAAATTTAAAACAAGAAAAAAGCACCTTATTAATAACTGTGACTCTGGAAAAGTTACAGAATGAAAATCCCAATTACGTTAATAGCCTCTCATGATTTGTACCAGTATTTCACTATTTGATATACATATATTTGAAAAATCCTTACATGGGCTTATGCACATTCTTTTTCAAAAGCCTAATTATATCTTATTTTTTACTCTAAACTTTATTTGCATTAAAGGAAAGGTCATCTAAAATCTCTTTTTAAAATGAACAGTAATGATCTATTTTGTTTTTTTTTCTATCAGCTGATGTTCAGGGGATCACATATAAGATCATATCTTTGTGAAGTTAAATTGTGCAGTGACTGAGAATTAGTAACCAATGACTTTGTGTTCAAACATTTTCTGTATTACAGACATTAAAAAGTGCTGTAATACTGCTTAAAATTGAAATAAACTCATCCTGGAGTTTTCTTCCTAAGTTTGATTTTACTATTAAACTGAAGAAAATACTTCTGCAAACCTCTGGTGCCTTGTACAGTGGGGGTATTTAGGTGCAGGATTTGTTGCAAATTTCATGTTTTGTTTTATTCTTGACCATGCTCTAAAGAAAAATTTGAAACTTAATGGGTTGCAAAAATGATTTAACAATACGTTTCTCTGTGTCAGCTCTTTCCACTATGATCTCTTATAGCTCGATACCAGAAACTAACCCATCTACTTCCCTTTCCAGAATATTTGCAGCCCATAAGAGTGGATAGTTTAGTTTTTTAGCCAGGTGTGCTGCTGCACTGTAAAATGACACGATTTAACCTAAATCCCACCCTTCCTAGTATTGCATACAGATTCCACTAGATGTCATCTAAGATGTCACTGAAGGAGGTTTGAACCACGGTGTCCATCAGCCTCCGCCTGGGGAGGGTGGGTGTGGGTGCAGGCTCTGGGCGGGGCCACTGCAGCGACACCTTTAGAAATGGTCCCTTCTAGCATGAAAGACTCCTGGTGAGACTCTGAGACCTGCAGGTAACTTCTGATGGAGCCTTTTCCCTTTGGATTCCTTGTGCTGCCAGGTGTAGGGCGCAGAACAGCCCTAGG